TAAGATGTATTTAAACTTTTATTCACTTACCAACAAAACTTTTAAAAACGAAATTCCGTTTTATATTTGATTCATCCTCGTATCTAACATAACATGCCCAAAGCCCTGAGGAGCGGGCGAATAGATTGATTTTACCAATGCATTGACCATCGGAAGGGTAGAAGCCCACCACAAGGCCACTTTCCAAAAATGGGGCATCTAGCGACTTAGGCCTGAGAGGCTGGATATCCCCAGACACCCTTCAGAGATAACCAGCAGCTTTTTGATGAGTTAACCTGCAGGACTTTGAGGAGCTAAGAATATAGCTGTCTGTAGACATCCTTCAGCGTCAACTAACAGGTTTTTAAATTCCCAGGAAATTACCATATTCCATTATTACCCCTACGAAAATTATTTTTGAACCCCAAGGAGAACACAAATTTAATGAAAAATTTAAAAACCTGACAGGGGAGAATTTGAACCCACCTACTCCTGTTCAACACACAACCGCTCTTCCAGTTAGGCTATCACTGACATAGTCGAAGATTTCCGAACTGGCAAGATGAGTATAAAATTTCGGATAATTTTTAATTCTACAACAAACTACTGTATAGCATCGTCTGAGGAAACATGCAAGTTTTTAACAAATTGATAACCTGCAGGACTTTGATGAGCTAAAAAGATAGCTGTCTCTAGATACCTCTCAGTGGCAACTAGCATGTTATGACAAGTCAAAAAGCAGATTCTATATGCTCCTAAAAGATGCACAATGGACCTTAAAGAGGACTAAGTGCTTTGGAGCAACCCATACTTCCCCACCTTACAGGTACAGATAATATGCCTAAAGTAAAGATAACGAATCAAATTTATTAAAAACAAGTCTATTTTCGTTAATTTTACAAACAAACTGAATCAACATAATTCAATCAGAATAAACAAAATAATAATTATAGTAAAATACCCGAGTATGAATCTAGACACTAGGCTCTGCACCCAACTCTTTTTTTCTGAATTGTCGCTGACACTTCTATGTTAAAGTATTTGCAAGTAGGTAAATATTTAAAGATCCTTTGCGATAAAAAATAATTTTATTAGACCCCAAGGAGTAAGACCTTTGTATTATTTTTTTTTTATACCATAGTCAATTGGGTTGGATTTTAATTAGTCTTTGAACGTTTCCAGTTATCAAACTTCTATAGGTCGAATACGCTGTAAATAGTAGTTTGTTAAAAAAACATGCCAAAGGCCCCAATAAATCAAGCAACATATACTGTTTTTAAAGTAAATTACTTATTATTACTAGTTATTATGGAAAATGTAAAATATTACGAATATGTGAAAGCCCTTGTGCGTATTATCACAAAATTTATAAATTAAAAAATAAAATTGGACCTTGTGGTAAAACTCTTTGTCGCGACTATGAGTTTGATATTATCTGGTTTGTGTAGCGTTGGGCAAACTTCGGCTGATTGATGGTGATTTCAATGATGTTTAGAGCAAGCTCTAAACTTTTATTGGCAGTTTTTTTGCTAGTCTCGGTTTTGATAAGGGATTTACACTGAATAGAAGAACGTAGAGGTTTATTGATAAGAAATAAATGCGCCATGAAGCAAAATGGTTCGTGCTAATTATTTAAAAAATAAAATGGTAAAATTTTATACCAGTAAAATAACTACTATTTACTTAATGGTAATAATTATAACTAAAATGTAATAAAAAAAAATTAATAAGAACAAAATTTGGTAGGTATATATCCTGCTATATACAAGAAGAAAATATTTTTTATTTTATTTTCAAAACATAATAGAGTGAAAAAGTTACTAAATGCATGGTGGAAGAATACAGGTGAAGCGGTAAGCGGTACGAAATTTGGTCATTCTTGCGCATGACGTCACCTTCGGAGCATATTTTTGTTTTGCCTATGTCTCCAATGTTAAAAAGCGACTTTTAAAGTTATTCTAATATTTTCCTGATAGTGTTTAGAAGTTTATAGATATATTTTTCTTAATATTTAATATCATTTCTATATATCAATAGGCCTGTTTAGAAATTATTGGTACGTATTATTAAATTAATTTCTAATTAAGTTGGTAGTGTAATTGATATAAAGTTAGGTTATGTAACATTTTTGTTGTATTTTAAAGATAAAAAAAATGGTTTCTATTCATTATTGTTATTTTAATATATCATTATTATTATTATTATTATATTATTGGTACATTAAAATCTACTATATTTTAGGGTGTGTAGTTACTAACAAAATGCCAGGTTGTGCAGTGTTTGGCAGCAAGAATTATTCAAGAAAAACAAAGGGAACAAATATTAAGTATTTTGGATTTCCGAAAACAGATATAGCCAAAGCCTGGGTCAACGGTTGCGGGTGAAAAGATACAATTAATTTGAAAAATGGTATGATTTTTGCAAACCTAATTTGAATATGATTCATTTTATGTCTTGTTTCTTTTTTAAGCTTGTATTTGTTCCATACATTTTTCGAAGGATATTTTTGAAATACCCTTACAACAGAGGCTATTAAACTACTCCACTAAGACTGGCAGAAACTTAAAACAAACGGCAGTTCCTACTGAAAATCTCCCATTGAAAAAAAGACAATTGTCTGCAGAAAGTGACGATAGATTAAGAAGACAGGCAAAAAGATATCGACAAACATTTATTGAGAGCTTTGTTAATATTTCGGGGCATTCCAGACAATTGTCAACTGCAGACCAGGACAAGGAGAATCAAAGTTTGGAAACAGACACTCAAAATATATTGGTATCATCAGAACTAGAAACGTATGTACAAATTTACCTTATTAACAAAAAATGTGGCTTTGAAAAGAAAATTACACAACTTAGCATGTACTAATTAATATTACAATCATTTCAAAAAAATTTTTTTATTAAATAATAAACTTTGAAGTGATAATTGCTTTTATTTCAATATTAACTGTATGTTATTGTTTCAGATGTGACCACCGAAATGAAATTATTATTTTAGAGAAAACTAATAAGAATCTTCGTGAAGAACTAAACAAAATTACTGAAAAATGCAACAAATCAAATATAGAAATACTTTCATTGAAAGAAGAAATTAGCCAGTTGAAAAATAATTCTCAAGTGGAAATTCAGGAAAGTAAAGTAAATACTTCACTCCGGGTCAAATAAATGTTTTATACAATGAAACTAAAAAAAGAATTTGTTGAAGTTCGGATGACATAGCATCCACAATCTCCCTAAGAAGCATTCGTCCTAAGGCTTATAGATTTTAAGAACTGTTCATTATCCTTTACCTGGGTTTACTACCTTAAGAGACTGGGCTAAATGTTTAAATTTAGAACAAGAAATATACATTATAAAGTGTTAAGTAAGATAAAGATCTAAACAATATGTATAAACCATTTTTAAACATAAATAAATCAATTTAAAATAACACCTCTGTGTTATTAAAATAAAGTATGTTTTGCCAAGTGTTTCTATTTATTAAATACATAAAGGGGTTTACCAGCACCCAACCATACAAGAAAGTAATTTATCTGTGCATACAAGTTATTGATGGCCATGTTGGATGACTAATTTAAAATTAAATTATTACATTTATAATCTATAAAAGTGACTACATACTTTCAAACTGAATATTTAAGAAAATTTGCGACTAAAAAAATATACTGATCATAATTCATTTCACCTTAATTTTATTGTTCAGCATTCGTTAACATTATACACAAGTTTATTTGAATCGATTCAAAATTATTTATTGCTGAAGAATTAATTACATTCTTATTAACAAAGATAGATAACATAAGTTAAAATTCAAAGGAAAAGAAACAAACAAAATATTAATAAATTAAATTTTTTATTTTATAATTTTTTAAATTCTAATATCAAGACAAAATATAATATAAAAACAAAAATGCACAACCTAAGTACAAATATGACAATCGAGAAATATGTATACAGGAGTATACACATAAATTAAAATGAACTACTTAATTCAAGGAATCATAGAAAAATTTATCCACTTTGTAGTATACCTTTTTGAGCAAGAGTTTCTTGCTTTTTAAACATATTTAATGAGTCAGTACTTCCTATTATTAATTAATTGGCAAGTTAAACATTTTTCCACTATACACAATACAAGGGACACTGCATATTTCAGTTTCACATTTAAATTAGTTATTTGTATATGCCTTTTATTAGTTCCAGTTTTTATCCGTACTGAGCCACTAAAACTTTTTAATGGTAATGTCTCTGTAAGTTTAAGTACGTTTTGGCTATGATCTTGATCTCAATCTATCAGATAGCAATGCTAGGTATGAAGATTTAAATCCTAGTTTTGTGATGGAAAAATTCAGTTTCAGATGAACACTATCTTTTTACGCCAAAGAGAAACTATATTAGGCTAAATTCCCTACATCATGGCTAAATTCGAAATAAATTACCTACTTTTTTTGTATAAAAGCACAAAATATTTTTTTTATTTGGCATTACTTTTGCACCAGCGTCTATCTGCCTATAGTGACTTTTCTTGTATTATTGAGCATAACTTGATGTTATTTAACGCAGTTGTTATTTTCTTCTAAATATATTTTCAGTTTTATAATGATTATAGAACTAGAAAATAAAAATTAAACTTCTTGACAATCATTACAAAATGTAAACAAAGCCATGGAATGGCATGGCAGTGTATAGGCGGCCGTGGCAATACCGATGTTGACGTCATAAAACCTGCGCACCGCTTCACCTGTATCCTTACACCATGACTAAATGTAAGAATGATTAACCGGCTATTTTAATTGTATTTTTAAAATGTCATCGTCAGAGCTCTACATCTATTTGAATTTTCCTATTTTCTCGAATAATCTAATAAAACGGAGTAATAAATGAAATAGTAACACTTTTGCAAATATTTTAAGAAAATTTAAAATATACAATTTAAAAATGTTTCGTTTATAAACGAAAGCGAGTATATCTTAACAATATAACATAGACGAACAAACAAAAAAAATAGGTTTATGAAATTCATGCATTGTATTCAGCCATAGTGTTAAATTGAGGTAGTATGGTTCTAGAATGAATCATTGCACAAATAAATCCATCTCTAGAGTCATAGCTGATAACAGAATTGGAAGCTTCTGTTACAACCTTCACGCGCCTCTCTATTGCCTGTGTATGGCAGGAAAAGGACAAAAAATCTACAGGACAAATTCCTGTATCGTTTATAAATTCTCTGATATCTACATCAGTTGCAGTACTCAAAAGAGGTGGTGCTGTAACTTATAAATTTTGCCAATCAATTAGCTCATAATATTCACTGGCATCGAAATCTAATTCAGGAATAAAAAATTCCTTTACGTCTGTAGATATTTTTGTGCGCGTCTTCAATATTCTTCGTAAGCTAAGTTGTCTTATAGTAGGACGATCATCAGAAAGCATTGCTAGATGAAGGTTCTCCGGATGACAAAAATATGCATTTCGTTTGATAACAGGATCGATGACTACCTTCAGTTTATTGTTCAAGTAGCGTGACAACTGTATCAACAAATTCTTCGATTGTTCTTAAATTTGTAGACAGACATTTACTTCCGATGTAAATTCGCAATATACGGTTTGCCTTTATAAGCCATCGTGCAACTTACCTAAATTACGAACTACTAGATTTAACGAACAGTTTCCTCTAGAAATTAAGTGACACATTTCATATAAGTACTTTTGATCAGTGCTAAGATTCCTAATAGCTGCAGCGTCTGATTCTGGTAAAGGACTAACATTAGGAACAAAATTTACAACGGGCAATTTTTCGCAAAACTCCAACATTTTTCCTATAGCTCCAGAGTATACACGAGGTTTTGAAGTTTCTTCGTCAAGATATTGAAAAATATGTAGCTGACACATCATCTACTGCAGAGAACGTTTCATTTTTGTTTCTAAATGTCGCAAAACTCTATTCTTCCTTCCAGTATTAACCGCTGTACGATCGCATATTACTAAAAGCTTACTTGTAATAATGTCAAATTCTTGTAGAAAATTAACTACAGATATGGCAATGTTTCCCCGTAACTGTTGTTTGTGTAACGTGATCCATATATTTTGAACCTGGTTCTTCAAGCAATGATATATGTTCTTCGATTTTTATTTTGCGATGAAATTTGTTTCTTATTTCTTTCTGGCATTTCGTTTTATCCTTTCTTCTATCAAAGGATAATGCTCTAATCTTCGGAGTGGATGTTTAGCATTTGCTTTTTAAATCAAAATGGTGTTTTTGACGAGCTCTTTTGACCTTACTTCGGTCAATAACTAAAGACGATGTATTTTTAGAAATAAGTCCTAAATCCTGTACCTAATAGCTGCAAATTGATCAGAAATACAAGTAAGGTTTGGAATAGGCAATCTCATTTGCTGGCTTGTATTGCAACCTGATGGAAGCTCTGACTTAGCTTCTTGTTTTTCTGTCAAATTCTCAAGCTCTACTGTCATCTGAGACTCAGATGAATAAAAAATACTGTATCGTTCAAAGTTTTTAATGTTGTCATTGTCTACTTCAAACTTAAGAGGAAGCTGATTTACATACACCTTGTTCTTAATGTTTCTTTCTTCTTTGGCTTTTAATTTATTTGTTTTAGTAACGTCTATTTTTCTCACAGTTCGTTGATCGTGAATAAATTCTTGCTCTATATTTGGTATTTTGCGTTTTTTAACACAACCACATGTATAAAAAGAATCACATTTACATGCAGCAATATCGAATAATTTCTTTGAATCGTCTTTATATTTCTTAACTTTTAACTTATAATTGTTATTTCGTTTAGTTTTGTGATATCTAATAAGGTTTTGGTACTTACTCAGGATATCTCGAATTAATTGCATAATGCGATTTTTCGATATAGTGGGAATTGAAGCTTTTTCCCAGATCACTTCGATTTCATTCGCAATAATTTGAGAAATTTCTAAATTACTAGGGTCTTTACCGGACCTAAAAACCTTAAGAGTATTTCGAATAAGCAAATATCGCTTCATGATATTTTCCACACTTGGCAAAACATTAGAAGGTATATTCGCTAGTGCACCAAATATAGGACAATTAGTAGCTCCCCTACTGCCCCTAGTGTCCTTCACTGACAAACTCATTACAACTTAAAACAAAGATCTTACTTCCGCGACTATCAAAAGAAGACTGGATTGAACAAGTTTGAAGAGTGTTGTGACATAATATTTGGGATTATCTGGATTTTTTTATTATTAATGTAAAAGTTTGATGCCAGGCACTTGTGAATAGTTGTATTTGGTTTATGTTTTTACTAAAATTTTATGTAATTTATTTTCAATTTGATGAAAGGTAGAGGCCTGAAGACATATTTATGTTTAACGGAAATTTTATAGGAATCAGTTTACTATAAGTAAAGACAACTTTCAGTTTGTATTAAAAGTATTTTTGTTTTTTAAAATTGTTGATGGGAGATAAGAGTCCTGAAGACATTTTTTTTAAATTAAAATTTCAGAAAATGGCTTAATATAATGGAAACTTTTTTAAATGACATGGATAAGTATATTAGTGCCTCAAAAACAACACCGACTCACATTTGCAGTTTTTACCAATATGCCAAATATCTCAAGACCATTGTATTCGCTTACATGGAGGCCACAACAATAACTCCACCGGCCCGCAATTGCTGGAGGGTCTAAAATAACAATTATGTTAAACCATGATGTATTAAATGAAATTTCTAGACTTTATTATTGTATAAATTAATATCTTCCACTGGCACATTTTTTATTCCTTGAAACTTATTTTATCAATGAGTGAAATTCTCGTTGGATTAACTAAAAATTAGTTTTTATGACCTTAATCATCTATTTTATAAAAACTAATAAATATTGCTAACATTTTCTAAAAAAATAAAATAAAATGTAGTTTTGGCGGATCGGCCATATTGGGTTGACAACATCCACGCCAAGTCATACCGTTTTGAATGTTTGAAAAATATTCTTATAGGGTCTCCCTACCTTTTAACTTGATGAACCAGATTATGGAGTGTACCAACTTCATATTCTATTGTACTTATAACGAACGAATTTTTAGATACATACACACGGGAAACGTCTTTACCTTCATAATTAACCATTTCTGAGAATGTTTATTTGAAGAAAAACGGTCGTAAAACAAAGTACGATCCATTAGTCGAGGAAGTTAAGGTAATTGAAGTAAATCCTAATTATGCCCTCTAATACGTAATAACTTTGGGAATACGTATATATAACAATTAGTTTTAAGAATGTCAGTCTTAATTTATAGTTAAGTGGCTTATGAAACCCTAAATTAATTTATCATCTTCCTACAGTTTACCCATAAGAAATTAAACTAATTGATGACGATTATGAAATATATTTATAATCGTAGAAAATTTCGTAATGTTTCTCAAAATACTAAAGGGGTATTAAATGTCATGTAATTTTATCTGTAATAAGAGAAAATAAATCTACAAAACAAAAAAATTCGTTTCATTTCTACCAATGACAGCAATTCGGAATTCTTATCATTCAATATTTCAAAATTCAGTCAGAACTCATTCAATTTTATTCATTTTATTCCAGAACAATTTGTTCTCTCGTATTCCTGATTCGGTATGCACAATACATATAACAAGAGACGTCGCAGAATACGAGTCCACAATCCGAAACAAGTTTTTTCGATAAGAAAAAAGAAAATTTATTTATAGATGTCGTCAATTAGATTGATTGGGTGCTTCTTTCTCATAAAAAAAGAATTGTGTTCTATTTTTACTTTCCTATCTGTATACAGATATAAGGAAAGTATAGAAATCATGATTTTTTTCGACCTCGAGTTTTCAACGGATTTTTACGTTTTGAGGTCCCCCGAATCTGTTTTGACTATTTTCGCGATGATGTGTGTGTGTGTGTGCGTGCGTGCGTGCGTGCGTACGTGCGTGCGTGCGTGCGTGCGTGCGTGCGTGCGTGCGTGCGTGCTTGTGTGTGTGGTCTAAATTTTTTTAGTCCAAATTTTTTTAGTCCAAATTTTTTTGGTCCAAATTTTTTTGGTCCAAATTTTTTTGGTCCAAATTTTTTTGGTCCAAATTTTTTTGGTCCAAATTTTTTTGGTCCAAATTTTTTTGGTCCAAATTTTTTTGGTCCAAATTTTTTTGGTCCATATTTTTTTGGTCCAAAATTTTTTGGTCCAAATTTTTTTTGGTCCAAATTTTTTTGGTCCAAATTTTTTTGGTCAAAATTTTTTTGTTAAAAATTTTTTTTGGTCAAAATTTTTTTTGGTCAAAATTTTTTTTGGTCAAAATTTTTTTTGGTAAAAATTTTTTTGGTCACAATTTTTGTCGTGTCTCGTGTCTCGTGTCTCGTGTCTCGTGTCTCGTGTCTCGTGTCTCGTGTCTCGTGTCTCGTGTCTCGTGTCTCGTGTCTCGTGTCTCGTGTCTCGTGTCTCGTGTCTCGTGTCTCGTGTCTCGTGTCTCGTGTCTCGTGTCTCGTGTCTCGTGTCTCGTGTCTCGGGTCTCGTGTCTCGTGTCTCGTGTCTCGTGTCTCGTGTCTCGTGTCTCGTGTCTCGTGTCTCGTGTCTCGTGTCTCGTGTCTCGTGTCTCGTGTTTCGTGTCTCCGTAAATACGGCAACGCTGCAATCTTATTTTACGAATTAACAACTAGTACCTATTTTTGTAAACCAGCCGCAACGTTGTCAAACCAATCTAATAGCTATTTTGTTTTTCTGTGCGACTTGATTTATTCATTTATAAAATACTATATTTGTGAACTTTATCCTTCCATCGGTAAGTATTTTTAGGTTAGGTTATGTTGTTTTCATTTGAACCAATGGAGTAGGGCAGCCGTTTTAAAAATATTTTGACTATACCATTTTCTGTACAAGATTTAATGAAATTTCTTGTACAATTCAAATTGTATAGAATCACACAAGAAAACGTTTGAAAAATGATTATCCAATCTAATTTTTTTAATTTAATGTAGATATGATTCTATACAATTTAAATTGTATCGAAATCTTGTGCAAGAAATTATGTAGTCCAAAATAGTCTTTAAAGTGATATTCCTTTTATGAATTATTAGTGTTTTATTTAGATACCTACCTCTACCTACTTAATGTAAATATAAAATTTTATTTTCAAAAGGAAAGACTTGTATTTCGTGCAAAACTTTTTAATTAATAAATGCAAAGCGCTTTCGGCATTGTGCCATCATCAGTGCTTATTGTCCACAAACATATTCAATAAGTTCTTAGTCATCCTCGCTCCCAAAATTAGATATTTTAGGATATTCACAACTTGCTAAATCATAATTATTACTATTAATAATATTATCAAATTTAAATTGCTTTATACATTCATTTTTATTAATATTGTTTAACCGTGTTCATATTACAGTTATGGTGTCATAGAAAAATATAACGGAAGAGTTAATTGGATTTTATTCTTGTTGAATTTCAAAAATATTAATTTCTCATGACTTAAAAACAAATACATGAAATGGCCAAAATAGGCCTGCAAAGGCACTTTATGCGCAATCTCTCCTGTATCATTGTGACGTAATGCGCGAATTCAATTTGGCTTACTTTTGTTAACACAGACTGTTGTCCCATTTTAAATATACAGTTCACTGGGAAAAGATTATTTAAATATACACCGACCGGGAAAATACGAGTAGGTATGAAAAAAAAATTCACTGGCTCCTGGACTTGTACTGTATCGAAGGAATTTCATGAACGAAACAAATCTTCTACCCTTTTTACAAATAATAGAAAGTTGAAGTAATGCTATGAACGTAAACGTATACGTGAAAATTGACATCTACGCATGCGTATTTAAATATCCTTCACGTTCACGTCTACGTTCATACGTAAGCTTACGAACTCTGGCGTATGT